TTTTTTTTTTTTTTTTTTTTTTTTTTTCTCTGGTAGGGGTGGTTGTATCCTGTATTCCCTTGCGGTTTTACCGTTTGACTCTACCCATTCATTCCAAGCTGCCCCCTGTGTGGATTTCCCTACTTTCGTAAAGTATGGATCCACCTGGATTACAACTAGGACGACGGTCATCTCATGACAGTGGCGAATTTAGTAGTAGTCAGGCGGGATAGATGTTTCGGCAATTGGAAGCTTAACTTTCGGGCGTTGTGAGCCTAGGCTCATTGGATGGGTTGAGTAGAGCCTAGGTAGTTTGAGTACTGCTGCCGGCTGTTTCGGTACCTGTGCAGGAGTTGTGGGCTAGTAGGTGCATTGTGGAACATACATTGTGTTATGTATGGCGTTCGGTAGATTAGTGGATATGTGACTGTTTGGTTGGTCTTTAGATGCAATTGTTCAAGAAGGGATGGTGCGCTATTCTGAGTGTGTTGGGGCGATGTAGATATTGTACTACCCTACTAGATGATAGTAATCTAATTATGCGTCTGAAGAACGCTCACGTGTGATGCTTGGTAATTCCTGAATGGGGAAGATGAAGGGTGAGTTGGGGGTCATGTTCTTCCTTCTGCATCTATCGTGTCTGTAGTGTTGATCATCCATTCCCCTCGGAGACGTTGGTATTTCCTCAAGTGAGGATTGGTCGTTTCCTAAGATGTATGGATACATCTGCTTGAAAGCGATTAACGTAATGGGGTATAGTTATCTGCTTAGTGAGTACTTCCTTGCTTCCAAGGGTGACCGGGTGTAGCTGTGTACTTTCGTAGGAGACGTCGGTGAGGGGTGGTTGTAATGGTTATTTGGGGACGACATTGGACTTAACCTGCCCTTCATGTTCAGTTGTAGTCTAGCTTGGAATTCTCTCATTGGCAGGTTGATCGTCATTTGCTAGACACCTTGGGCTGTCAAGTGTGCAAATGCTGCTTCTTGCTCAGTGCTAAACAGGGTCAGATGATTTACGTCCAGAGTACGTCTTGTATATCAGGAAGAGCAACTCGAGCACAAAAGCGCAGAAGAGGAAGTGAATCAAAGGGATACGATGTATAATCGGCAGTGTTATCCGCTATACGAACATTGCCAGATGCTTCAATCATCATGAGATTGGCTACCAGCAGGAAGGTGGGTATATAGATCTTTCGGCACTGGTGTGCCAAGCCTGTTGATCGATGCTTAAGTTGATCGTCTCTATGGCTTCTCGTTGGGGTACTATATTGCCGGCTAGCATTATCCCCAATTATCCCCCCTATTACATTGATTGACCACCCAGCAGAGAAATGTGCGCCAACTGCTGCCCACATGATAGATATATTAAGTGCCGGGGCATTTCCTACAATCACATCGGCGCCAATTGAGTTTATAAGACACCAGAAGCCTTGTACACAGAGCCAGGAAATTCGGCACGCATACCCAATGATCGATTTTGGAACAGCCACAGATGGATTTTAGATTGGGCTGGACCTTCGGGCTGCCTGGTTGTGGGTGTTGTACCACCGGCGCTACGTCGGCGGGCTATCCGTCATAGGAAGGTAGATATGGAGATGTTAGCTCTTTTGCTCCCACCTTCCCCATAAGTGTGACTGCTAGATGTTCATTATTGAATTTTTTTAACAGTCTTTACCTGGCATAGGCGCGGGGTTAGGCTTGTGAGTGTGTGGGTGGGATCCTTTCAGGGTTGCGGGAAGAGAATGAACAATTACACTTGCGGCACAAAGCAGATCATCCGGTCAAGGATCTGTTGGCTCCTGTTTGCTGCATGCGTGGTTCATGAAAATCCAGCAAGCTCTATGGTCGGGCATCATGCTGGCCAGTCGAGAAGCGACAAGCTCTTTCAGCTACAACGTTTAAAGTTTGCCGGCCCACTGGTTGGAGAGCTTAATGGGGGATCACATCCCACCACAAGCTTGAATGGCTCCGTCCATGGGTGACGGCATTAATGTTTCATGCTCGGATGACCTCGGAAGTGATGATTGCAGAGTGGTGCTGTCTATGTATCAAGCGAAGCGTTTGATCGCCTTGAGGGGAAATCTATAGAAGTTAGTGTTAGGCATTTCTTTTTCAACGTGAATGGGGAATGCGTGGAGCAAACTGCAAAAGCGCCCAACAGCGGCAGGCTGGGCACCTTTGGGTTCATAAGGGGACTACGAGTCAGTGATAAAAGACAAACACCTAGACCGCTGTCCCGCTCCATTCCACTTGCTGGACGATTCTGTGGTGGAAAACTTCAATGGTGCAGCAGTGGTGGTGATTTCATGATTCGGGCTGGCGCATGACGTAGCAGATCCCTAGACCGGCGCATATCGTCATCGTTCGTGTTGCCCGATCATCCCGCACTGGAGATGATTATTCTTATAATTATCACTCCGTCTAACTAATGGTCTCTCGTCCCGATTTATTAATTTCCCGGTGCCGGATTTACTGATTCAGATCGATAATCTACAATCTGCACAATCCACCAAGCGCGCTTCCCCCCGTCAACTCTCAATCACCACCACCCATCACTCAATACATACAAACCACACCACCAAGATGGTTGCCAAAGCTATCCAGCTCGGTCTACGGATCTGGGAGGTATGACTATCTTTCTCGGGCCATAAACACCTGCTCTAGCTGGGCCTGCAAAGCAAGCAAGTAACGCAGCTGGGAATTCTGGACTAACGCTGAAAATTGCATCAGTTCCTCTGGACTCTGCTCGTCATGGCCTTGATCGGTAACATGATCGCTGAAGCATTCGCCGGGAACCCATCGACCATCAACTACACCATGTTTGTTGCAGCTTTTTCGATGTTCACACTCTTCTATTTATTCCCAGCGACAATTAATATCGACTGGGCCATCCACCCAATCTTCTTGATCGCTATCGACACGCTCAATGCGATCCTGTTCCTTACAGCCGCCATTGCTCTGGCTGCGAAGTTGGAATGCCACAGCTGCAGCAACGATGTACGTATAGGTGCATGATTTTCTGCCTTATCAGTCGGGGAAACTATCCACTAAAAAGTGGAGAGTGGAGTTTTCGTCCCGCGAACTCCCCAAAAGATGATGCACTACAGTACTATAATCTTAGGGCAACGCTGACTTGTGGATACTTACTCTAGTCCTACACGCTCAACAACGAAATCACCAATGGTGCCCATAACCGCACGAAGCGTTGCCGCGAGGCTCAGGCCTCGACGGCATTCCTGTGGTTCGCCTGGGCTGGCTACACGGCCTCGATGATTCTGTCGATCATCATGTCCCGCCAGACAAGTGTCAACCTTCGTGGACGCACCGGTCCTGCTCGCGGTGTTACTCGCCCCAGCATGGCTCAAGTCTAAACACTGGTCCATATCCGCTTCTCCGCCTGGGCTGGGATTACGTTTTTTTGGAGTGAATGTCACTCACTCCCAGGGATGGAACGACACGAATAATGAAGCGCAACTGGACCAAATATGACGTGAAATGCAATTGGACACAGCGCGCTGATTTCTGACTGATGAAACCAACCTAACGATTCTCATCACGTTTATTACTAATCTAAAGAAAAAAAGAAGAAGTTCCTGGCAGTACTTGGCCAGGAACTATGGCTGGGGATAATTATAATCGGGGTGGGAAGGAGTTCTGTGTGTAATTCTAATTGTGTGTTCTATTGATATGTATTTGATAGTTTGTAATACCGATCGATCCAATGTGTCGAGGCTGTTGGATATTGTCAAAATGTCAGATGATATTTATTTCTGTCATCAAGTGAAGTCAGATGCCTGTCCACAACGTACAACCTTCTAATGACGCAGGTATGCGGGGTACTGCTCTGAGGTGAAGCCATATGCCGACCGGAGAAGAAGCAATTAGATCGAGCAGCTTAGAAATTCAGGCAGGTCCCTTCGAAGGCACGGGAAGCTGCATTTCAGCTCCTCACTAGTCGCCGCATGATTTGATTCGGAGAAGTCAAGGTACTTCCCTCTTCCCCTCTCAACAGATACATAAGGCCCGATCATCTGTCATGCTCTCTCTAGGGCCTTTTTAACACAAAACCATTCTATAATCTCCCCCGCCCCCGTGCATTATTTTCCATATATATTACCACCATGGTCAAAGCCATTGCCGTCACTGCTCCCAAGACTATCTCCGTGGTGAGCGACTGGCCCAAGCCTACCATCCGTCATGACTGCATCCTCGTCAAAGTGGTGAGCGTCGCGCTTAACCCCACTGACTGGAAAACCGCCCTTCGAAGCTCTCCCATCGTCACTGTTGGCTGTGACTACGCCGGCATTGTAGAAGACGTTGGCCCTGCCGTCACGAAACCCTTTCGGGCCGGTGATCGTGTCTTTGGCGTCATTCGCGGCTGCAACCCCAACCTCCCCTACAATGGAGCATTCTCCGAGTACGTCCTCGCTGTAGGTGACCTGCAGTGCGCCATACCGGAAAACCTCAGCTTCCAGGAAGCTGCAACCCTAGGTGTCGGCATGGGCACCATTGCTCAATCTCTGTACCAAAGCTTGCAGCTCGCACCGTTTGATCATCCTCTGGCCCAGCCGGAACCGATTCTCGTCTACGGCGGTGCAACGGCCACAGGGACTCTGGCAATTCAGTTTGCGAAGCTATCCGGCTACGAGGTGATCACGACATGT